ACACAGCCCCTGTGATGTCACACAGCTGCCCTGAGATGTCACAGCCCATATTATGATGTCACAGATAATGTTGTGATATCACACAACCTGCCCTGGGATGTCACACAGCCATTCTATGATGTCACAGGGTGGTCTCTGAGGTCACAGTCCCTCTATGATGTCACACAGGTAGCCTGTGATGGCAGAACCCACTCTATGATGTCCACCCTATGATGTCACAGAGCCTACTCTGTGATGTCACAGGGAACTCTGTGATGACACACAGAACTGCTCTGTGATGTCACAAAGCCCCTTCATGATATCATGGGGCCAGTGCTGGGATGTCACTCTGTGATATCATAAAGCTGCACTGTGATGTCCCAGAAGATTCAGTGATGTCACAAACCCATCCTGTGACATCACAGTCTTTTCTGAGATGTCACAGCTGGCCCTGTGATGTTACTCAGTCACCCAGGGATGTCACAACCCACTCTCTGATGTCACAGAGCCACCCTCCATGATGGCAGAGTCTGCTCCATGGCCTCACACCCTATTCTGTCATCACAGCCAGATCTGTGATGTCACACAGTCCCCTCTGTGATGGTGTAGCTGCTCAGTGACCTCACACGGTGCTCTTTGCATCAGACTCAGTCCCTCAGAGTGGGCTCAAAAAACTTCTCAGGGACTCAAAAAGAGAGTGAAACACGGAAGTTTCTCATAATTTAAATAGATCCTTCTGAGGGAAAGGACGGAGAAAGTGTCCCCAGATTTCAGGTAGAGCAGAACACGGGAGGCAGTGATGACAGCTGGGAACAAGCAAGGGAAAGGTGTCTCTGGTGCTGAGCAAACCTGCACCTCTGTCCCTGCAGGCTGGCCCACCTGGCTGGCCCCTTCCTCTGCTGACAGCTCTGCCTCCTGCCTGCCTCTGCCTGCCCACACAAAGCCTTGGGCTGCTCCAGGCTTCTTCTGGGGAATGTGTTGCATCACAGCCCTGCCCTGGGAGGGAAATTCCTTTCTCCCGGTGTCCAGTCTGGGCCTCACCAGCTGCCCTTGGTAGGATTATTTCTTCTTCATGCTGTTTCCCACTATGAAGAAAAGCTCCAGGCTGTCTGAAACCACCCATCCATCCTTCCCATGCTACTCCTGTCCTGTCCTCTGTCTCCACACCACTGAGCCCAGAGCCATCAGCACCCTCCTGCTGGTTATGTGATGAGGCCTCCAGATCCCATCTTGGGCTATTTTTGGGTTGTCTCCAAGGTCTGTGAAAATGGAAAAATAGTGATCAAAATTATTTTCTCCCAAATCATGCAGTGACAGGACAAAGCTCAATATCTTTCAACTGATTGAGTGTGGATTTACATTTGAAAGAAGCAGGAAATATTTTACAATTATGAGAGTGGCACAAAACTGCAACTGTTTTTCCAGAGAAGTGGATTCTCCATCCCAAGAACTGTCCACGAGCAGGAGCTTTGTGCAACCTGACCCACTGAAACCCCCTCATCCCCAAGGACAGAATTCCTGTTGTGTGGGCTCTCTGATGTGCTGGGTGCCCTCACAACGCTTCTGGCCAGAATGTCTGCTGAGGGCAGCCAGGCTGCTGCAGGGGCAGTGACCTCACAGCCATCACCATGGCAGCCCTGTCCCCTGGGCCTGGCTCTGCCCTTTCCTCTGCCCCTGCCTTGTCTCTGCTGGCATGAAGAGTTTTGTCATTCATATCTTGTCCCCAAGGTGCTGGGGCCAATGGCTTCCCAGG